TCAGTAACTTTCTCACTTTAAATGGAACTGACACAATGCCCAAATAATTGGTGGTAATTGACGGCCTGGTGTCAGATTTAATAAACCACTTAAACTGCAAATCTTCTAAAGATGTGGCTAGTTCTTCTCTTATTGCAAGATAGCACTTTCATATCCTTTATTACCTGGTTACTGTTGCTTGTATTTTCCTTCAATATAATATTTCCTGCTTTTTAATAAAAGAGCTGTCATTTCTAATAAGAATTGAAAAAAAAAGCATCCAGGGAAATAAACACAATTGATGGGTATCACAAGCCGAAACATACCAAATAAGTACACATCTTCAAAAGCTTACAATAGAATCTTGATTCTAAGTTGGACCTTGTGCTGGGATTGTAACTCATCGTGTGAAGTGGGAGGATTCCCCATTTCTGAGGTTCCTCAGTCTGATCCCCTTGTCTCCAGAAGGCCTCCCCCTTGAAATGAGTAGTGGGCTGAGTAGAAGCTGATCTTGGCTGAGTAGAAGCTGAACACCATTTCTACTTTTTAGTCAATGGAAACATATCCCTTCTTTTTGGCCCAAGTGATAGAGTGAATTCACAATATGTTACACCCTCCCTCATTAGGATTATATACACCCATGTCCTTTGTCATGTGACTTTGCGGCCCCTCCCATTAAGTGAGGAGAGTGCATTTCCCTACTCTGTTGATGTTGGGATTGGTCACACGGCTTTCTTTGGCCAACGGGATATAGGTAGAAGTGGCAATATGCTAGTTTGAAACCAGGGCCTCAAGAGGCATCATGTGTTTCGGCTATGCTCTTGCACTGAGGATGTTGTACCTGAGAAAAACATGCCTCTTATAGCCAATAAGGAGGATGGGAGACTCAAGGAGCAGACCTGATCCCCACTGATCTGCAGTCCGAAGCAGAGCTACCCCAGCTGACCTGTAGTGAGCCAGAAAAGCAGGTGCTTATTGACACAAGCTCTTGAGTTTTGGGGTGGTTTGTTATGCAGCATTATTGTGGCAATAGCTGACTGTGATAGATCCCTAGCAAGATAAGCAGTGAGCCTGTGACCTAAGTGTGGTGCATCAACTTCTTTTGACTGAGCCCTTAGGACTTGAAGGAGAGACAAAATATGCAGGGCAGGGGGTGGGTGTTAGACCTTCTGCCTGGTGGCTGTGGCTGTGTTAGAGTCAGGCAGCATGGCAGGGAGGGTCTGGGGGTGGCAAAGCTCTGTGGAGCTGTGGTCAGTGGCTGGAGTCAACAGGGCTGGTGGTGGGTCCTGAGTAGATTGTTATTATGGCAGGGTCTTCACTATGCCTCCCTGCCCTTACTGTCCACCCAAGTTTGGTTGGCCAGGCCTTCCATGGTTCTGAGTCACTCAATATCCTTTGGGTAAACTCCCTGCTGCTTAGATTTCCCAGAGGTATGTTGCCTCTTTACAACCAAGAACCCTGACCAATACATCATGAATTGGGAAGGAACCTGGTTTTCTTATGATTATATCCCCTTGGCATGGCTTAATATGTGTGTAACACTGTCCTAGATTGTCTCCTGTAATCCTCCTAACCCCTCTATGCACAGGACAGCAGAGTGGTTCAGAGCCCTCACTTCACACACAGGGTTTACTCTCTGTGTCTGCAACTGTGTCTGTGTGAGCAAGCCGTTAAACCTCTGTACCTTAGTTTCCTCATATGAAACCAGGAATAAAAATAATTCTACAAACAGTTTGTGTGTAGCTTAAAACAATACCTATTCTATGATAAATTCTCAATTAAGAATTACCTGTAAGTGGTAGAAATGATAGTGATGAGATGCTGCTGTTGCTAATATTAGTATCATCCTGTGAGATAACAATGACCTCTGATGCTTGTACTAACTTGCACAATGTAAATAAATGGTAGAGCTGGGATCTTCCTTGCTCTCCTGGCTTTCCATAGTTCCAAAGCCTTTAATGAGTTAACATAATGCAGTGGTTCTGAACCTTTTGTCCTGCATGGCTTATGTGTCTACAGCACCCTAACAACCATGCCCTGATTTTGAAGATGCTCTTCTTGAGCTCTTCCTACCATGTCCATTTTGGTAAACATAAGAATCTTATGCCTCACTTCTATTCCTATCATTCTATTTAGATCCCTACATCTGGATCTCTACTCCTACATCCTTATTTGAGAATTTCTGCAGGGTCATCTGTTCTTTCTGATGGAAGTTGTGCTTTGGGTGTTATAGCTCCTAGGGGTTGGGTGGAGAGAAGAATGTTGAAGATTATTAAATAATCTAATTGGTATTCTAAGGTGGTGTGTTGATGGTGGTAGTGGAAGGTGTGCCTTGAGCAAGCATCTAGGAAGATGCAGCCCTGGAGCCAGGAGGCAGTAGAGGAAAGCCCTGGAGGGGCACCAGCATTTCAGGATGGAAGAGTCTAGAGAAATTTTCACTTCTTTTACCTAAGACTCTCCCTGGTTCAAGAATATTGCTGGTACCAAAATGTATGGTCAGGCTTCTCAAGATGGCTGTTCTCTTGTTCCCTGTACATCCCCTGCTCCACCAGTCCCTGCTTCACCTACACCCTATGCATGTGACTGACCTTCCTACATACTTGCCCCAAGCCCCAGCTGGTGATTGTTCTTATCAAAGGGGTGGTGAGGGGCGTGCCCTTCTACTGGTTTCCCTGGTAACTAATGAGCCCACCTGACATCAATTCCCCTATAACTGATAGTCTCCCCTTCTCCCTGGGAGTGAAGACTGCCTCCACATCCTGCCTGCCGCCATCCACCACACATATGGTGGGATGTTGCTCCAGGACCTTGCTTCAGACGTGTAAGCTTCCCCATTCATTAAACCATTGAGGTCTCTTTTGCTGACTCCGGGCTCTTTCTTCAGGCTTAAAGCTGGGCAAGTGCAGGCCTTATTGGCCTGCAGGGTGCAGCCCAACACAAAACATATATTACAAGTTTAAAGCTCAGCTTCAAACTCAGGTGTGTGAAATATCACTTACTTTATATCCTATAAGTCAGAGTCACTCTTCCTCTGATAGATACTTAATAGCCATTCTGAGGATTCTCCCTTTACACTGACCCCTGCCCCCCAGCCTCTGCCTCATGGTCTTGGGTCAATGATCCAGGTATTAATCAGTGCTGAGTTTGGGACATGGGGAAAATTGCGGGGACCTCTGTGATTGCTCATTGTCTCTAAACTGAGACATCCTACGTCTTTGTCCTCATGGGCCTTTCAGTTGTTGGGACACTGTTACTTCCTGAATATGCCGGGGCTCTGAAAATCTTTGTTGAGTCCGGGGTGTGAACCTCACACAGCACTTCCTCTTGGGGTTTGGCCTCCTCCTTGGTTGCAGTGCCAGGAGGTGGGGGTCTGGATCCCTGTTGATGTGGGACACAGCCCTCTCTTCCCGTTCTTCCTGAACCTCAGGGAGTCCTTTTCTGGTCTGAGGGCAGTCTTCTCTTTCCATGTTTCTCCATCCTCTTAAGTCTCTGCTGCACCTTTCCACCACCCCATCTCTGCTCTTCTACTTTCCTTCCTACTTCTTCCAGAAATTCGTGGAATTCTCCAGTGCTAATTTTACTTTTTGAACCACATACCTACCCTGGGGTACTGAGCAGAGAGCTCTGCTATTTGCTTGAATAAAGGGAAAAGGAACTATGGGGAATTCTCTATACTCATTGATTAATATGTCCAAAGATTTTCTAGCCACGTGAGCAAAATTGAACATGATACTCTGCAGATTATTGGGAATCAGCTCTATGACTGCCAGTCAATTCCTGAACAACTCAATTTGCAATTCTGTGCCTCAGTTTCCTCATTTGCAAATAGTGTTCTTGCCAACGCTCTAAGCCCAAGGCATTCTTAAGAGGATGAAGGAATTAAGAGATATTAAAGTGTTTTGAGAAAAGAAAAAAAATACTACTACAGCTATCTGGAATTAGTAAATGAACCCCTCAGGACTCAGAGGAATGCTAGAATATCTTGTAGTGCTGGTAGTATTTTGATATTGAATTTGTAGAAAAATATAAGCACTGAGTAGAGGATGAGGGAAGGTGAAGAATGAAAACAAAACCTCATACAAAAAGATGATAATGATGTGTGTCATCTCAAAATCATCTCCAAACTGCCTTCTTCCCTCCCATCAAACAACTGATGGGCAATGAGATTGTGCTTATTTGTAGTCAAAGCTATTGCAATGCTGACAATTAAATATATATGTGGAACACAATAATGGAACAGTCCCATTTTACCGCCAGTGTTAGCCATTTGCTCCCCAGGGCACAAAGAACGTGTGGGAGAGCTCTGCACCCTGCATGATTTGCATGTAAAATGCATCCTCTTGGGCTTCCCTGGTGGTGCAGTGGTTGAGAGTCCACCTGCCGATGCAGGGGACGCGGGTTCGTGCCCCGGTCCAGGAGGATCCCGCATGCTGCGGAGAGGTTGGGCCCGTGAGCCATGGCCGCTGAGCCTGCATGTCCAGAGCCTGTGCTCCGCAACGGGAGGGGCCACAGCAGTGAGAGGCCCACGTACCACAAAAAAAATAATAATAATAATAAAATGCATCCTCTTTGCAGGATGTGCCTGCAAAGAGTGCCTCAGTGTGGTCAGGAGTTTGTGTTGGGTCATGGTGGGGCTGCTGATCACTGCAGAGTCACTGTAGACTTCTCTGGCCTTGACTCCATTCCTCTCCTCCTCATTCCTTTGATTCACTGAAGAAATTGCTGACCTGGAAGAGTCCTTCACGGCTGCTGTCAGCCTCAGGCTGAGGGAGTTTTCCACCTTCAGAACCATTGGGTTCAGAGATTTCTCCACCAATGACCTTGAGGCTATAGCCCTTCAGCTTGGAGACTAATAATGGTCACAAATGCAGCAACAATGGGGAAGAGAAAGTAGAGCAGACACTGTTGATGCCCTGTCCCTATCCCTCAGCTTACTTGCGTTTATTAGCTGCTGAGAGAGACAGTTGCTTCCTACCTCTAAACACCTGTTTCTCTTTTGCTCTGCCTGAAAACTTGTTCAGGTGCTGCTTGAATTTGCCTCACCACGGCAGGCCGTCGCGGAAATATGTGCGTGGGAGTTACGTCCTCGAACAATGGAGTGTCTCAATCAGTAGGGAACAAGTAAGTGTCTCCATACCCCCACCTCCCATCTTTTAGTGCAGCGGTTCTCAGAGTGTGGCCTCTGGACCAGCAACCTCAGCATCACCTGGGAACTAGTTAGGAATGCAAACTCTTGGGCCCCACCCCATACCTTCTCATGGGGAAACTCTGGGAATGGACCCCAGCCGCTGGTGTTAACAAGCCCTCCAGGAGATGCTATTGTGTCCTCAGGTTTGAGAACTGCTGCATTGGTGGGATGATTCTGTGCTGGCTTCCACACATTTTCTCAGACAGTGTAGATGGGTTTGAGCCCCAGTTGCTCACAGTGGTTAGCTGGCCAATAACATACACTTTATTGACTCTTGTTCCTTCCCTGTCACATATTCCCTATTTCCTCATTTGTACTTCTGAGGATCACTTCACTGATAAACTACTGCCTCCAAAGCCTCTTCTCAGGGTCCGCTTTAGGAACATGACAGACTCAGGACAAAAACCATCTGCCGAAGCCTACCTTGTGTTGGGTGCTTTATACATATAATCTCATTTAATCATCACAGATGAGGAAACTAAGGCTCAGCAAAATCAGTTATGTTGTCCAGAGTCACCCTGGGTGAGTGGTAGAGTCACCTTTTAAATCTCTTCCTGTCTGACCCCAAAGCCCACACGCATTGACCACTGCAAAGCCAAACAACTCATAAATATACTGGTTAAGAGCATGAGTTCTGGAGTCAAATATTTGTGTGTTTAAAAACCAGTTCTACCACTTCCTAATTATGTCAACTTGGGGAATTTTCTTCACATCTCTGAACCTTAGTTTCTTCTGTGCAAAGACAGTCTTGGTCACCTCCCAGTATACGCACTGTAGGATTCACAGCACTGTGTACACAGGACACCGTGGTGGCTAAATATTTCATTTGATCTTTACAACAACTTGAGATGTTTCCTTTTCGTCCTCGTTTTAAAGAGAAGGTGGCTTGCATTTGCTTTCCCAACTCTCTTCTGGTGGGCTCCTGAAAACCTTCAAACAGTTCTTGCTTAGTACAGATGTTAGTGTGTTACAGTTCAGCAGGAATATTCTGGTGAGATGCACACCAGGAGAAAAGTCAGTACTTAGGAGCATCATGTGAGTTTAGCAGGTAGCCGGCAGGAGCACCCTTAACAGGACACTTAGCACTGCTGTTTACTCCAGCGGAACCAAGAGCCCAGGAAGGAGGGATGGGAGCTGGAGCTGAAAACGACTTTCAGCATGAGGTCACTGCCTGTTTTTAGGGCTGAGGAAGAAGATGTAAAGGAGGTAAGCAATTTGTCCAAGGTGATATTCAGAGCAAGCCCCAGTGGGACTACAGGGAAGGTAGACCAGGAGAACATCTGGCCTCTTTTTCTTGGCCCGAATCTACGTCTCAAGACCTGCTTCTGCCGTGCTGGTGACAGTTATCAAAAATCCGAACACAACAAAGGGTAGATGTTTATGGCAGCGTAACTATTTTTACTACCCTCATTCCCACCTCCAAAATCGTTCTAAAACATAACTCCTGGAATTTAAAGGCCCAAAGAACCCCATGCACATAAGCCTCGGTTCTCCCTGGTATAAACTAGACACGCTGATATCAATTCCTTCCCAGGGTGCCCAGTTCTTTCTCTGAAAAGACAGTGAATCTAGTGGCTTCTGGCTACTTTTCCCCAGCCACTCAGAGACTTGGTAAATTCTCCAGAATTTCCCCAAACCGAAGATAAGAAAGTGACCTGAAGCTCAGCAGAGTCCTGTCTCTCATTGTTATGCTTAGGGGCTTTTGAGAGGATAGGGAAAGCCCAGCTCTGGCTGAAGAGGGCCTGGTTCCCAGAACTGCCACATGGGTCACACCGATGGGTGACTCCTGGAAGGGGTCAGCTGTAGCCATGCTGGTTCCCTGCAAACACTGACTGCGTATCTCCCCTCTTTCAGGCAGGCAGGATCGTAGGATAGACAGGCACCAGCTGCTACACAAAACCACAGAACCTCACTTTCTCCTTGCCCAGGCAAAGCGCTGCTCAAGCTTAATCCAACCCCAGTTACCTTCCTCACTCCCTTTTGGGCCTTGAGCAATAAGAAAGTTTCCAAAATGTTTCCAGGGCCAGGTTTACTTCAGTTGGGTTGTCAAAGCATGATGAATTTGTTCTAAATCAGTGTATAAGTTGGAATTGCAGCATTGAAATTACTAATTTAGTTATGTGTTGTGTAGAGTTATAAAATACACTGAAAATGTAAAGACTGTTAAAGCATCTTATCTATTTTTAAACAAAGCTACTCCAATTTGAAATACACTTCTACTAACAAAGAATGAAAAATATAGTATTTCTAGACATAAGTATATATTGTGTTATATATATCATCAGAAATCTTACTGGAGAAAGGGGTAAGGAGCTGTAAGATTGTACTTTAGAATAGCTGGTATGGGGGTGGGGTCGGTCACGAAATGAAATGTTATTAAATGCAAACAAAGGAAGAGCTATTTATGGCTTCACCATTTATAAATTTGACGAACCCTTTTTTAATCCATTTCTATTTCCTGCCTGCACCTTCTCCAGGGGGTAATGAATTCCACAAATTTATTAGCTGCTGTGTGAACTAATACTCCCATTAAGCACACTGGGAAACCAGCGCTTCCAGCCAGGGAAGGTGAGTGAACTCTCTGTCAGGGATTTCTGCTTCTTAAGTGTGTCAGGGCCATTTGTGAGATGGAGGAATTTGCTGACAATTGTGTCATTGTGACGCGTCGTTTTCATAAATTATGCAGATTTAGGAAGCTTGAGCAATTGGTATGATTTGATCTCATGGACACTGAATTGTATTTCCGTCTTTGGAATGACTGCTGGAGAACATGGAGGATATTTATGGCACCCACAGCTTGAGAGTAGGACTTCATAGTCTGCAATTTTGTATTAGTCTCATTTCTGACCCTACTCTGTGGTTTTCCTTTCCTTTCTCATCTACTTTGACTCGATGTTATCTTGCTGTATTGTATGCATTTTCGTGAGGTAGAGTAAACCCTTTTTGAACATGAGATGAGGAATTGACAAAGCAGAAACTGATGCAGACAGACACACACAGGCTGAGGGAGAGAGAAACATGGAGAAAAGACTAGGAAAAGAGAGACACGGACAGGGATGGAGAGGAATCCAGGAGGGGAGACTGGAATAATACAGACTTCCATGTGGGATTTATGGAATTCCTATCACTACTCACCTCATAACCCTCATCAATAGAGCATTCTTTGTTGGTTTTTCCAAAGTTTCATGCTTCAGTTAATCGATCTCTGAATAACGACCAGCAAGCAGTAAAATACATTAAATACTCAACCAAACAACAAAACTCATCGATGGTCCTGTAGAAGCATAACCCATGCTTCATATTCCAGTTTTTTAAAAAATTGTCAGATTTACTTAGGTTTTGACTTTTAAAAAAAATTCAGCTGTAGCAAATGGCATCTCACCGGAGGCTTTGGAACTGCAAACCTCACAAGAGCAGTTCCGGTAAGAAAAGGAACTATGAGCAGAGCAGATTCAAGGAAGGAGGTAGGATTCTAAACAGTGAGTCTGTTTAGATTAGGCTTTTATTTGATAAAGTATTTCTTTATCATTTCACTTTCCTTTGCCCTTTTATTTTTAAACATTATTTATTTATTTATTTATTTTTTGGCTGCATTGGGTATTTGTTGCTGTGCGCGGGCTTTCTCTAGTTGCGGCGAGCGGGAGCCACTCTTTGTTGCGGTGTGCAGGCTTCTCGTTGTGGTGGCTTCTCTTGTTGTGGAGCACGGGCTCTAGGCGCACGGGCTTCAGTAGTTGTAGCACGCGGGCTTAGCAGTTGTGGCTCGCGGGCTCTAGAGCGCAGGCTCAGCAGCTGTGGCGCACGGACTTAGTTGCTCCGCGGCATGTGGGACCTTCCCGGACCAGGGCTTGAACCCGTGTCCCCTGCGTTGGCAGGCGGATTCTTAACCACTGCGCCACCAGGGAAGCCCTGCCCTTTTTCTTTTTGCTCCTTGGGATTTTTTCCTGTTCCCTTTCTTCCACAGGCTCTTCAGCCCTACTAACGAGACTTCTCTCTTTTCTTTAAGATTGCACCCCAGGCCACCTCCCTTTGGTGTCCCAAGAAACTCAGCTCTGTCTACTTTATTATCCCTGTACCCTACTAGACTCTAGGCCTTACCTTCCATATTCAGAGATTCATCAACCTGCAACAAAGCTCTTCTTACTGGTCATGATTCTTTGTTGTAAACAACAGAAAATGACTCTGGCTAATCTAAACAGAAAAGGAATTTACTGGAAGGCCATAAGTAACTCTCAGAATCAAAGGAGAAGCTTTAGAACCAGGCTCAGAAAATGGCAGGAATCAAAGAAAGCTCAGCAAGCAAGAATGCTGCCAGGGGGAATTCCCTGGTGGTCCAGTGGCCAAGACTACATGCTCCCAAGTCAGGGGGCATGGGTTCGATCCCTGGTCAGGGGACTAGATCCTGCATGCCGCAACTAAAGATCCTGTGTGCCACAACTAAGAGCCAGTGCAGCCAAATAAATAAATATATATATATTTTTAAAAAGGACACTGCCAGGGTCGTACACCAGTGGTCTTTTTGGCATGCTCCTGTGGGCACCACTGAAGATAGACAACTTGCTGCTGGTGGTGCTGCAGCCACCATATGGAACATGATAGCCGCTGCATCCTTGATTCCATTGTTGCAAATAGTTTCTGTCATTATTTATTTATTTATTTATTTCAGCATCTTTATTGGAGTATAATTGCTTTACAATGGTGTGTTAGTTTCTGCTTTAAAACTAAGGGAATCAGCTGTACATATACATATATCCCCATATCTCCTCCCTCTTGCGTCTCCCTCCCACCCTCCCTGTCCCACCCCTCTAGGTGGTCACAAACCACCAAGCTGATCTCCCTGTGCTATGCGGCTGCTTCCCACTAGCTATTTTACGTTTGGTAGTGTATATATGTCCATGCCACTCTCTCACTTTGTCAGAGTTTACCCTTCCCCTTCCCCATATCCTCAAGTCCATTCTCTAGTAGGTCTGTGTCTTTATTCTCGTCTTACCCCTAGGCTCTTCATGACCTTTTTTTTCCCCTTAGATTCCATATATATGTGATAGCATACCGTATTTGTTTTTCTCTTGCTGACTTACTTCATTCTGTATGACAGTCTCTAGGTCCATCCACCTCACTACAAATAACTCAGTTTTGTTTCTTTTTATGGCTGAGTAATATTCCATTGTATATATGTGCCACATCTTCTTTAGCCACTCCTCTGTCGATGGACACTTAGGTTGCTTCCATGTCCTGGCTATTGTAAATAGAGCTACAATGAACATTGTGGTACATGACTCTTTTTGAATTATGGTTTTCTCTGGGCAAATGCCCAGTAGTGGGATTGCTGGGTCGTTTGGTAGTTCTATTTTAGTTTTTTAAGGAACCTCCATACTGTTCTCCATAGTGGCTGTATCAATTTACATTCCCATCAATGGTGCTAGAGGGTTCCCTCTTCTCCACACCCTCTCCAGCATTTATTGTTTCTAGATTTTTTGATGATGGCCATTCTGACTGCTGTGAGGTGATAACTCATTGTACTTTTGACTTGCATTTATCTAATGGTTAATGATGTTGAGCATTCTTTCATGTGTTTGTTGGCAATCTATATATCCTCTTTGGAGAAATGTCTATATAGGTCTTCTGGCTATTTTTGGATTGGGTTGTTTGTTTTTTTGATATTGAGCTGCATGAGCTGCTTGTAAATTTGGAGATTAATCCTTTGTCAGTTGCTTCATTTGCAAATATTTTCTCCCATTCTGAGGGTTGTCTTTTGGTCTTGTTTATGGTTTCCTTTGCTGTGCAAAAGCTTTGAAGTTTCATTAGGTCCCATTTGTTTATTTTTGTTTTTATTTCCATTTCTCTAGGAGGTGGGTCAAAAAGCATCTTGCTGTGATTTATGTCATAGAGTGTTCTGCCTATGTTTTCCTCTAACAGTTATATAGTGTCTGGCCTTACATTTAGGTCTTTAATCCATTTTGAGTTTATTTTTGTGTATGGTGTTAGGGAGTGTTCTAATTTCATTCTTTTACATGTAGCTGTCCAGTTTTCCCAGCACCACTTATTGAACAGGCTGTCCTTTCTCCACCGTACATTCCTGCCTCCTTTATCAAAGATAAGGTGACCATATGTGCGTGGGTTTATCTCTGGGCTTTATATCCTGTTCCATTGATCTATATTTCTGTTTTTGTGCCAGTACCAGACAGTCTTGATTACTGTAGCTTTGTAGTGTAATCTGAAGTCAGAGAGCCTGATTCCCCCAGCTCCATTTTTCCTTCTCAAGATTGCTTTGACTATTTGGGGTCTTTTGTGTTTCCATACAAATTGTGAGATTTTTTGTCCTAGTTCTGTGAAAATGCCAGTGGTAGTTTGATAGGGATTGCACTGAATCTGTAGATTGCTTTAGGTGGTATAGTCATTTTCACAGTGTTGACTCTTCCAATCCAAGAACATGGTATATCTCTTCATCTGTTTGTATCATCTTTAATTTCTTTCATCAGTGTCTTATAGTTTTCTGCATACAGGTCTTTTCTCTCCTTAGGTAGGTTTATTCCTAGGTATTTTATTCTTTTTGTTGCAATGGTAAATGGGAGTGTTTCCTTAATTTCTCTTTCAGATTTTTCATCATTAGTGTATGGGAATGCAAGAGATTTCTGTGCATGAATTTTGTATCCTGCTACTTTGCCAAATTCATTGATTAGCTCTAGTAGTTTTCTGGTAGCATCTTTAGGATTCTCTATGTATAGTATCATGTCATCTGCAAACAGTGACAGCTTTACTTCTTATTTTCCAATTTGGATTCCTTTATTTCTTTTTCTTCTCTGATTGCTGTGACTAAAACTTCCAAAACAATGTTGAATAATAGTGGTGAGAGTGGGCAACGTTGTCTTGTTCCTGATCTTAGTTAAAATGTTTTCAGTTTTTCACCATCGAGGATGATGTTGGCTGTGGGTTTGTCATATATGGCCTTTATTATGTTGAGGATAGTTCCCTCTGTGCCTACTTTCTGGAGGGTTTTTATCATAAATGGGTGTTGAATTTTGTCAAAAGCTTTTTCTGCATCTATTGAGATGATCATACAGTTTTTATTCTTCAATTTGTTAATATGGTGTATCACATTGATTGATTTGCATATATTGAAGAATCCTTGCATTCCTGGGATAAACACCACTTGATCATGATGTATGATTCTTCTAATGTGCTGTTGGTTTCTTTTTCTAGTATTTTGTTGAGGATTTTTGCATCTATGTTCATCAGTGATATTGGCCTGTAGTATTCTTTCTTTTTGACATCTTTCTCTGTTTTTGGTATCAGGGTGATGGTGGCCTTGTAGAATGAGTTTGGGAATGTTATTCCCTCTGCTATATTTTGGAAGAGTTTGAGAAGGATAGGTGTTAGCTCTTCTCTAAATTTGTGATAGAATTCACCTGTAAGCCATTTGGTCCTGGGCTTTTTTTGTTGGAAGATTTTTAATCGCAGTCTCAATTTCAGTGCTTGTCATTCGTCTGTTTATATTTTCTATTTCTTCCTGGTTCAGTCTTGGCAGGTTGTGCATTTCTAAGAATTTGTCCATTTCTTCCAGGTTGTCCATT